GGTGTGGAGGAAAGGGAACCCTCTTGCACTGTTGGTGGGAATGTAAATTGATACAGCCACTATGGAGAACAGTATGGAGGTTCCTTAAAAAACTAAAAATAGAACTACCATACGACCCAGCAATCCCACTACTGGGCATATACCCTGGGAAAACCATAATTCAAAAAGAGACATGTACCACAATGTTCATTGAAGCTCTATTTGCAATAGCCAGGACATGGAAGCAACCTAAGTGTCCATCGACAGATGAATGGATAAAGAAGATGTGACACATATACACAATGGAATATTACTCAGCCATAAAAAGAAACGAAACTGAGTTATTTGTAGTGAGGTGGATGTACCTAGATAGAGTCTGTCATACAGGGTGAAGTAAGTCAGAAAGAGAAAAGCAAATACCATGTGGTAACACATATATATGGAATTAAAAAAAAAAAAAAAGGCACTTCCCTGGTGGCGCAGTGGTTGGGAGTCCGCCTGCCAATGCAGGGGATACGGGTTCATGCCCCGGTCTGGGAAGATCCCACATGCCATGGAGCGACTGGGCCCGTGAGCCATGGCCGCTGAGCCTGTGCGTCCGGAGCGTGTGCTCCGCAACGGGAGAGGCCACAACAGTGAGAGGCCCGTGTACCGCAAAAAACAACAACAACAAAAAACATGTGGAATGTTTTAATATTGCTTTGAAAATGTCTATAAAAATTCAGTGATTCCATTTTTTTTAGCATGAGGTCTTGGGTTGTATCTATGAAACACACAGCTTCAAAGTGAATTTTGCCCAAGCTGGGTATTAGTTGTATAATATGTTTTTCTTCAATGTCCTATTATTTAACTGAACATTGAACAATTTATAAATGTAAATCCTTTTGATAAGGCAAATATTTGAAAAATACTTCAGTTGCTAGTGATTCTCATACATTTTCATTATGCATTGCTCTCCAGGTGGGATATTAATCCACAACTTTATTCAAACAGTTTTGACAGCTCACATGCATACCCTTCAATTACTTCAACAAAGGTGTATAGGTTGAGATATATTTAAAAGTCAAGGGGCTTCCCTGGTCATGCAGTGGCTAAGAATCCACCTGCCAATGCAGGGGACAAGGGTTTGAGCCCTGGTCCGGGAAGATTCCCACATGCCGCGGAGCAGCTAAGCCCGTGTGCCACAACTACTGAGCCTGCGCTTTAGAGCCTGCGAGCCGCAACTACTGAAGCCTGTGCTCTTAGAGCCTGTGCTCCACAACAAGAGAAGCCATGGCAATGAGAAGCCTGTGCACTGCAATGAAGAGTAGCCCCTGCTCGTTGCAACTAGAGAAAGCCCGCGTGCAGCAACGAAGACCCAACACAGCCAAAAAAAAAAAAAAAAAAAGTCAATTGTTCTTTCTTTCCTCAGTTTTCTCATGGTGTTGTATAAATATTAATTTTTCTATTCTATTCTGATTGAGAATGGTAATTTGTTTCTGAGCACTTCATAACTTAGTCTGCTAGACTTGAGATGCATTCCATTCTGTAGAGTTATTCTTGACCACATACATATTCATTAAGTGAGCTTTGTTAAATTTTTTAGTGTAATGAATTTTCAAAAATATATGAATGTACTCAATAACTGTGAAACTGAATTGAATTGAGTTCTGTCAAGTCTTTTGTTGTGTATAGGCAGTTTTAGTGTGTTGGCTACAGCGATTACAGCCTTTGTAAAGTTCCATATTGGAGGGTTTGCTTTTCTGTATTTTTTTTTTTTTTAATTAGACTATCCTAACAAGTATTCACCTTAGACGTAAGGAACTACTAACACCTGAACTTCATTAGATGCCTTTTTAATAAGAAAAAGCAGTTACCTTGTGCTTTGTAAAGAAGACTGTCTTCACTCAGGCTTAACTTGGTTGGGCAGTGGTCTAAAGCTGTTTCACCTTTAGACAGCCTTATCTTTTGAGAGAACATACAAGAAAGATGATTTCCATATATCCTTAAATTATCCATGGCTGGTTTATTCTTGCTTTTCCCTTCTGCCCCCAGATCTCTATGTCCCTACTTCCCTCTCCTTCTCCCTTCTGCATTCTCCCTCAGATTCTGGTTGCTTTTCCCCAATGGCAGGCACCTAAACCACAGTTTCTAAAACCAGGCTACTGAGGGGAGCTTGTCTGGGGGCTCATTTCCAAATCCCAAAGTCTCATGTGTTGTTAAACTTCTGAAAATGTTTTGTCTTCTATTCCATAAAATCTCATTGTTGGTTTTAATATAAAATAATGGCCTATTCCCCTGTTCCCTAAATCTTTTAGTTAAACAAAGCTCCAAACAGTTGTGCAGGGACCTTGCATTCCCCTGGAGCTGTCAAGTCCCTTCAGGGACACACATGCCCCTGAGTTCCAGGATGGCCCTGAGTCTGCTCCAGAATGGGAAACTGTCACACTTTACATTTTCCCCTCATGTCTCCCTCCTCACTTTTCTCCAACAGGATGTTTGTCCACATGCTATACAATTATTCTCAGGTGAATTTTTGTTTGCTTGTTTCTTTTAAAAGTATCTACATCTCAGTAAATCCTACCCTAGAAAATTTCTAATCCTATTTAATTTCTAATCCTAGTTACTTCAGGAATATTCTCACCCCTCTGTGCTCTCTCTTCCACTGGGAGCAAATACATGATAATGTAATTCTAGTGATACTTGTAAATCAGAGGAAAAGAAAAATATTAAGTTTGGAATTAGAATTAAACATTCCAAAGAAAAAGAGCCATCAATGTCAGAAGTTCATTCATACTTTTCACATACTTCCCATCCACGGCCTTATCTTTCTTAAATTAAAACTACTTTTCTTCAAGCTCTGCCACTGAAGATAACTACAAATAATTTCTCTTTCAATTACTTTCAGTTTTATTTGGTCATAGGTATTACAATACAATTCTACTATTGATATGCAAAATACGTAGAATTTTGGCTACAGGAGGGGTAAAATTAGCTTTCCCAGGCTAACCTAAGAGCCTACCAATTTTTAAGCAACTGCTATACAAATGAATAATTATTACACAAACCACTGGTAAGTTGTGGCTTGCTTATACATGAACAAATATCAATCTTGAGTTCACAATAACTGTGATTTCTGCCTTGACCTAGGCAGACCTTATAATAACTCTCACTGAAGAACTGATTGGTTGAATGAATATAAGTATTGTAATGTCCTGTGTTAATCTGAGCTGCTCTACTTTTATAGTGTGTGTATATGTATGTATGTCTATGCATATAAACCATATAGTGTATATAAGCAAATAAAATGGACTAAATCCCATGTTACTTACCTTAGAAAGAGGTTTCCAGGAGAGATTTAGATGCAAAAAAGTGGATGGTACATCAAAAGGAACTTCAATACTTTCTTCTTTCTTTTTCTCTGGTGGTGGTTGAGGGGTTAAGGCTTTCTGAGGTCTGATATCCCAAAAACATATTGTGCTTTAAAAAAAGTTTACAGTTTATTTTTTAACTAAGTACAAAGAAGAGGTGTTATCTCAGGACTACCATTCTTGCTGCTACACATTACCAATGTGATCATGGCTATATTTGATATCTCTGAATTTAAGATTTTTATGAAATAGGACTGTTTTGCATTGAATATTTTGGGGAATTATACCATTTATAGGGTTATTTAATGACTTTGCTAGTATTGAGACTAATATTATCATACATGAGAGCTGAGTTTTGAGATTGACATAATCTTTTCTTAAAACATAACAGTTTTATTGAAATATAACCCATATATCACAAAATTCACCCATTTAAAGTAGTCAATTCAGTGGTTTTTAATACATTCATTGAGTGGTGCAAGACATTACCACAATCGATTTTAGAAGATTTTCATCACCTTCCAGAAAAAAACGTGTACATATTACCAGTAAGTCCCCATTTCCCTTAATCCCTCTGACTAGCCCTGGGCAACCACTAACCTACTTCCTGTCTCTACAGATTTGTCTATTCTGGACATTTCATATAAATGGAATCATATAGTATGTGGTCTTTTGTGACTGGCATCTTTCATTTAGCATGTTTTCAAAGGTCATTCATGATGTAGTATATATCAGTACATCATTCCTTTTTATTGTCAAATAATATTCCATTGTATGGACTATACTACACTTTATTTACCCATTCCTCATTTGATGGAGTGATGAATGAATAAATTTGGGTTATTTCCTCTTTTTGCTATTATGATTAATGCTGTTATGAACATTTGTTGGTAAGTTTTTGTGGATGTAGGTTTTCACTTCTCTTGGATATATATTTAGGAGTGGAATTGCTGGGTTATATGGTAACACCTATATTTAATCTTTTGAGGAACTGCTAGATTGTTTTCCAAAGCAACTGGATCATTTTTGAGGATTCCAATTTCTCTACACCCTCACCAAATGTATTACTTTTTTTTTGTCTTGAGGATTCCAATTTCTCTACATTCTCACCAACATTTACTATTTTTTGTCTTTTTTAAACTTTAGCTATCCTAGTGGGTGTGAAGTTGTATCTCATCAAAAGTGATTCTGATTTGCATTTCCTTGTGCTTTTGGGGTAATGTCTAGGAAATCAGTACCTAATCCAAGGTCATAAACACTTACATTTGCCTATGTTTTCTTCTAAGAGTTTTACAGTTTTAGCTCTTATATTTAGGTCTTTATTTCATTTTCAATTAATTTTTGTATAGAGTGCGAGGTAATTATTTTGCAGGTGAATACCCATTTGTCCTAGCACCATTCATTGAAAAGACTATTCTTTCTCCATTAAATTGTCTTGGTACCCTTGTTGAAAATCAGTTGACCACAGATATATGGGTTTATTTCTGGACTTTCAATTCTATTCCATTGATCTATATGTCTATCCTTCAGCCATTCTCAGTACATGTGTCTCTACAACGGTAACTGTGCAGAAAGTTTAGAGATTAAGAAGTGTGAGTCTTCCAACTTTGTTCTTTTCTGTCAAGACTGTTTTGGCTATTTCGTGTCATTGTGGTTTTGATTTGACAGCTAATGATTTTGAGCATCTTTTCTTGTGCGTATTGGACATTTGTCTATCTTTTTTGAAGAAATGTCTATTGATAATCTTTGCTCATTTTTAAGTTAGATTATTTGTCTTTTTATTGTTGAGTTGTAAGAGTTTCTTTATATATTCTTAATAGAAATTTCTTATCAGATATATGATTTGCAAATATTTTCTCCCATTGTATGGGTTGTCTTTTAAATTTCTTGATAGTGCTTCAAAAGCACTATCAACTTGAATTCTGATGAAGTTCAATTTATCTTTTTTTATTTTATTGCTTGTTTTAGTGTTTTATATATATATATAACACATACACAGAGTTGGATTTAATGTGCTTTGTACATAGTAGGCATACAGTAAGTGTCATTTCTCCTCTTATTTCTCCTTCCTCACAGGTTGATTATGAAAATCAACTGAGGGCTTCCCTGGTGGTGCAGTGGTTGAGAGTCCGCCTGCCGATGCAGGGGACGTGGGTTCGTGCCCCGGTCCGGGAGGATCCCACATGCCGTGAAGCGGCTGGGTCCGTGAGCCGCGGCCGCTGAGCCTGCGCGTCGGGAGCCTGTGCAATGGGAGAGGCCACAACAGTGAGGGGCCGCGGCATGTGGGATCTTCCCGGACCGGGGCACGAATCCGCGTCCCCTGCATCGGCAGGTGGACTCTCAACCACTGCGCCACCACGGAAGCCCTAGAGTGTTATTTTTAACACAATAAACTTGGTAAAAATTTATAATGTTACTTGTTCAGTACTTCAGTATATAATGTCTTTGTAGTAATTATGTGAAAACATAATAAGAACAGCAAAGAATATGCCACATTAGCTCCATAATTTCTGTCACTTAGGTTATGAGTAAACAGATTAATAAATTTAAGATATTATTAAAGAATTTAGATGTGTAAGTTAAAGTATTTAGATAAACAGATGGTAACTTGAGACTAACAAAACTTTTATTCATTTATGTGAATTAGTTAATATTATTTATTCATTTAATAATGGATAAATAATTAAAATTAATAAAAATATTAATCATATTAATGGTCAAAACATAAATCATTGGTAGAATACCACAGATGACATAATAAAATGTTTTAAAATATAATTATAGTTGGTTTAAACCTGTTTTTCCAAATTACATAGCTCTTCTTGAATCTCATTTACAGCATTAATTTTCATTATTTGTAAAATGGTTTTGCTAAATACAGATAGCTTCAGTTGAACTTTCTGCATCAATCAATCACACATCCTTAATTAGCAGAACCCTATTTTATCTTATTCTGTATTATAAGACCCTTAGTATGGCTAAAGTATAAAGACTAGAACTGATGAATTTTCTGGATAGCTAAAAATGGGGCTTTCTAAATGCATAAACTTTTTTTTACTTTAACAACTTTTGAAGGAACTATTTCCAGAATATTTCAGAATATTTCCAAATTCAAGGGCCATCATTATAGACAACAATCAAGGACCTGTATCTTCAACATATAACATGTAATATTTTAAGTCTGTTCAGAGCTTCTAAATGTTCTCCAAGGCTGAAGAACAGTATAGCTTTCCATTCTGTTGTTTATAATCAACACTATACCATAAGCATCTTTCCATGAAATAATAATACAATCTTAATTGTTGCATAATATTTCATATGACCCTGTAGGTGCTATGTGTTGTTTTTGCCTGGGCAGCAATTCCCCCCTCCTTTTTTAGCAAGAGCCTTCTAATTGGTTCTTTGAGAACTGCCCCTTCCCCGTTGCATGCAGTCAGGTTGGAACTGTCATTCAAGGTGCTCTGCCATTCCTTCCCTGGCCAAAGGTGTGAGTACATGATGTAACAGAAGCCAGTCAGACTCTCTTCTGTCACTCTGAATCTTGAACTGTGACACAGTGGTTGGAACCGATCCATTCAGATGGTAGGGGCTGGCCATTCATTCTGGCCACTCACTAGGTATACAGTGAGCTATAGGTGACAATGTATTTGCCTTCAAAACCTCATTTCCTCTATCTATACGTATTTTTCAGGGTTGAGAATATAAAAATAGTTAACCTGCTAAAGCACGTAGTACAGTATTGGCATAAACTTCCAATAAATTTATTTTACCCCCTTAAGTTAACTATAGTTAATTTCTGTTGCTTGCACTCACAGAACCTTACCTAATATGTGCCCACAGGGTTAATCATGTCTCCCCAACCCCCTGCCCATGGCTGCTGCTAATGTTACTTATGCCTTCACCTGCCACTCCACAGCTGCTTCTGCTGCGATCAGTGTCTAAAACTTACAGTGTCATGATATCTATTGGGGTCAAAGCTACTTGGAGTGGTAAAGTTTTGCCAGTATTTGAATGCTAGATAATAGTATTGCCCTTCTTGCCCTTCTTACCCTTCTTATGTCCTACTTCACTCTGAATTTTCAGTTCTATAAATTGGGGTATACAATTTTTAAAAATAAACATTCTTCAACATAGTTACTGAATTACTTATAAAAACATTTGTAATAAATATACAATAAAAAATGTAAAACTCTTGCACTTTTTAAAAGAAACTTTCCCAATTAAATGTTGTCATCTTCGTAATTGTGAGATAAAATTGAATGTAAACAATACATATTAAAAATTTACAAATATGTGAATGTGAAGAAACAGAATAACTATGGATAATGTTATACAACATTACCAACCATGAAACCTAGTTAATTCTTCTTTTTACAACATATTCGTATCCACAAAAAGATTTTTCTAAAACCAGCAACAATCTAACATTCTGTTCTTTAGTTATATTAGGTTTAATTGTTACAACAAAGATTATTTAAGGAACAGAAGAGGACAATGACTTTATAAGCATCTAAAAAAAGAATATATTGTTTGAAAACATATTAGGTAATGATTAAAATAAGACATACCAGTCTGCTGAACAAGTGACAAGTTGACAGGATATTCCACTTCGATTTTCAAAGACAGATCCCAATCTGTTAATCTATTTTTAAAAATGCTGGAAGTAAGTTCTGTGTACCTAGGACAGTAATGACTTTTTTCTCAAAGATTTTTACGCTAAATTTTTTTTTCTCCTTTGCTTTAATTTTTATTAAAAGAACAACACAAACAGAATTTGGAAACTGGAAAGTTTCAAAATCAAATATAATTCTGCTATACATATTTTCCAGCCTTTTTCTCACAGAAACATTTTTACATTTTAAAATTAGTTTTAGTTAGTATGCATATAAATTTCCATCTTAAGATCTTTCAGTTAATGTAATTTGAACATTTACCTATGTAGTCATAAATCATTCTGTTTTTTAATATATAGATGATGTATCATAATTTCATTACCATTATTATTAGAAATGTAGGCACTCTGTTTTTCACTATTAATTGTGGAGCTGAACATGGGAGCTTTTATGAGATTGTTAAGCAGGTAAGATCAATAGAAAAGAGACTTGGTGTTAAATTAGATACCTACAGCATGCAGTGAATGCTGGGGTGCCTGCATTCTTTTAGTAATTAGTGGCGCAACTCCGCTAGCACACAGAGGAGTCCAAGGAGGGTTAGTGGCTCCTTAGAGTCCTAGAAGGTCCAAGATTCCAACCAGCTAGCTCTCAAAGGAGGTGGAAGGTTTTGTGGCAACCTATGAAGGTGCTACTCTCAAATCAATAGGGAAACATGACTTTCCCCAATACCCTACGTACTTGGTGGGATTGATGAGCAAAAGGTCAAACAAAGGTGGGGGTTCCAGCAGCAGATAAACAGTAAAAGTAGGGGTGGAAGGAAGAATACAGGCGCAGCAGTGGTAAGGCCTGTTGGCAAGGCCTGTTGGCATCACGGGAGCTAGGATCCTAGAAACCTGGCTGACGCTGCTGTGCCATGAGCCCAGTCAGGATCTCTTAACAGCTGCCAGCTTCCACTGTGATTGATAAACAATCCAGAACCCATCTTTCCTCTCCCTCTAGTAAGGCTTCCTTGTTGTAGGAAGTTCAAGACTCCACAGTTGCGCTTGCTCTGGAGTTTTATGTTTTAATGATTTAAAAAAAAAAAACAACCCACATTCATATTATAGAGTTTGGAAAATAGAAGGTTTTAAAATCAAATATAATTCTACCTTACATTCTTTTCCAATCTTTTTCATGGATACACTTTGACATGATTTGTCAAGGTATGCATTGTATGTCTTAGGACACAAATTGGATTATTTCTTTGCATAAATTTCCCAAATTTGAATTACTGGTCAAAAACTTTGAAAATTTGGATGATTTAAGAACCACATTGACTAAATTGTATTCTAAAACTTTTATGTTGGAACCAGTAATGTTGGAGTTTATTGATTTCACCATTTCATCCTTTCTAACATGGGAAATTACTAGAAAATTTCATTTAAAAATTAAATAGGTCCAATGGAAAAGAAAAAAATCAAATAGGTCCAAAATAGTACATTATTGTTCCTTTATTATTAATTTCTTTGATATTAGAAAGTCTGAATAATTTTCCTGTTTATCTACTAATTGTTTTTCAGTATATGTCTTTAGCTTATTTACTGGAAAATTTGTATTTACCATATTTGAGGCAAATATTTTTCTTCATTTTGCTACTTGCTCTTTATTTTGTAATTTAAAACTTTACATGTATATGATTTGAATTTCTTTCAATATTAATTAGCTTAGAAAACTACAGAATCCAGAAATACGATATTCTATTTTGATTTGTTGTATTTATTTTGGTCCATTATAACTTTGAAAAGTAATTGTGCTTTTGCATAATCCATTTAAATATCTTGAAGGGCTAATCACCCTTCATAACTCTAAGTTTTCAGAATATTCTTTGATATTCTGACCTTTTAATTTCCATAGACTCTTAGTTCCTTGAGGGAAACATTTGGGAAGCTTACTAGTTTTCAAATTCACAAACAGCAGCCGTTGTGGGTCAAGTAAAGAACCACAAAGCCATACTGCAGCACAGATGCTAGGCAGTCAGCTGGGCTCACTCACTGCACAAATAGTCTTCACCTACCAGTCTCATGACACACTCAATTCAAGACTGCCTTGCAAAATGACACATTACTACATGTCACAGATCTTCAAGGTTATATGCTCTAAATAGTTGAAATCATAAACTTTAAATCTGCAAAGGCTAAGGGTGTAAAATATTTGCACTCTATTTTTACAACCTTCACTTTCTCCACTTGTATTGGATTATATCAGTGCTAATACCACCTACATTTTTTATTTTTATAAACCACTGAAGTTGACACATTGGCATTATTCTCATCCCTAAGTCTGATCTTGGTCTGTCAACAGTGACACAACTGTGTGATGTGTTGTTTCTGGTTATTTCACAATTAAAATGCAAATGAATTGTTGACTTCAAACATCCTCTTTGAATAAAATCTTCTAAAAACTTACAAGCCAGCAGGAGAAAAGTATGAAGCCATCAAGACTCACCTCAAATGTGTCAGGCAGCCAATGTATATCTGTAATAACTTTCCTATGTCCATTTTCTATTGAGGAGACTGCACAGTGTCTGATATACATTGCTTCTGTATTAGTCTCTGGTTCAAGGAGAAACATAGGCTGTAAAATGTTACAAGAAAGTTATGTGCTAATTTCAGAGAGCTGATGAAGCAACTCATACTTTACTTATCATTCCAATTAAAATCGATAATTTGGAGAAATACCAGTTCAAGGAAAAACACAAATTAGTGTTTCTATGTATTATATAGTTAGATAATAAGATTATCTTCTTTCTACTTCAGTTTAGTCTAAGATTTTATCTCTAAATTTTAACAAGAATGACTGACCCATTCCCTAAGGAACCAATGAGATCCCATTTTTGAAGGAGTATTTCTGTGAGTGCACAGAAAACCACATCCCATGGTTTCTTGGTCAGAGACCTGTGGGAGCTGAGGAATCTCTAGACCTCTTGGCAGGATCCACAGCTTCACAAATCATAGTGTCTTATTACCCGGAAGGCTTTTAACCCCTTCATTTTATACACGAGAAAATTGATGCTTGCTGAGGGGATGGGGGACATATCCAAACTCACAGGACTGTGATCTAAAGCCTGGATGCATGGGTCTTCTATCCAGTGCTCTTTCAACTACATCACTTTAGGCAATCCCTTGGCCCCTCCATTTTATTTAACAACAATAAAAACAAAAAAGAACCCCTGGAATAGACAGTACAACCTGTTTAGTGGTGTTTTAAATCAAGGGCCTACATAAAAGTGATTCAAAACACATCCACAGCAGATGTGAAGACTTAGGAAATAACACTTTTTTTTTTTTTTTTTCTAGTGAGTCTCTGTTTAGCTTGGCAACCCTGTTGTGTACGTTTTGATAAACTCCTGAACGGAAAAAATTTGCAAGTGAAAAGTTACAAAAAGCTAACCTTGAGTGTGACGTTTTTACTTCTACTACCACCTGCCTTGATGTTTTCTATTCGATCTGCATGTGCGGTAATATCCCACATGACAATCTAAAACAGAAATAAATGTTATTACAACATACTTTCAGGAACTAGCAAATTGCATCTTGAACATTTAAAAAAACCTATTGGTATTGCATGCACTCTGATAAATAAACCACCTTGGGAGGATAATCAAATTTAGCCTACATCTTAAGTAAGTCAGCAACTCTTATTATTTTTTTTTTTTACAACTCTTATTTTTTATCTTTATTTATTTATTTTAACATCTTTATTGGAGTATAATTGCTTTACAATGGTGTGTTAGTTTCTGCTTTATAACAAAGTGAATCAGTTATACATATACATATGTTCCCATATCTCTTCCCTCTTGCCTCTCCCTCCCTCCCACCCTCTCTATCCCACCCCTCTAGGTGGTCACAAAGCACCGAGCTGATCTCCCTGTGAGTCAGCAACTTTTAAAGCTTATATAAAAAATGTTTTCTTCTCTTTATTTATTTATGTTTTTGGCTTTATATATCTTTTATTTATTTTGAGGTACACATACATTTATTAATTTTGTTACTCTGAATTTGTTCCTACTTCTCCATCCTGTTATTCAGGATTTTCCCCTTCTTTTTAATAATGTTTTCTTCTCTTTAAAAGAATTTTCAGCACTTTGATTTTTTGTGCTTGTGGTAATAAATGCTAGTGGTTTTGTTTTTTGTTTTTTTGTTTTGCTTTGTTTTTTTTAAATCCAAGGTAGGCACAATGCAATTCTCTCTGCTTTGGGAAGAGTTCTTCCTCTGTTTTAGGGAATGTGGGGACAGTTGCTTTAGAAACAGGAGAAAGCAGTCTGCTCTCCAGAATTAAGTACAAACACCCAAAATTGTTCAAAAGGCTAGGAAACGACGATTTCTATTTAATTGAATATTATGGCCAACTCTGAATTTGCATATACACAGATGGTCATTTTTTGAAAAATCAGAACAAAGCAGAATATGCAACACTAAATTAGAATAATTGTCAATGACTAAAAGTCATTTCAGTACACTAAAATGTAAACAAAATGTCAGGATCACAGAATTGTGAGTAATTTTATTTTCAGCATTTGCTTTTCTAAAATATTCTAAAACAAAGTTGTGTCACCTTCTCAATGAGTAAAAACAGCAGTATTTGCAGGGCTTGGAGGATGTACTCTTGCTCCTCACTAGATCACCAGTTATTGTTGAATAAAACCGAGGAAAAAAATTAGTTTTCTTAGATGTTTTTGGTTCTGGATAAGTTGGCACGGATGATGCAGACATTTACATTTCAACTACCTAAAAGTTTTCCTAGCCACACGATAAAAAATCATTATACCCTGGTAATGGTCAAACTCACTGTGTCACAATGAATTTAAACTTTGATCATAAAATAGCTGTAAGATTTTTGTTTTGCTCTGTTGGAGAAACAGGAAATTGGAAGATAGAATCTAAATTTTATATAAATTAGATAATTTAAAAGAGAAAAAAGAAAAAAGCAAATAGGATATCAAATTATACACACATAAATTCAGTGATATAAGTATGTTTTCCAGAGAATTCTGTTTAAATTCTGGATCATTCCCTAACTCCTACCTCTAGGGAAATTTCAGAAGAGGGCTCTTGCCCAAGAGGTATTATGCTTATGGTTTTTGTTCTTCCCTGGAATCTTGTACAACGTGTGGTTCTATCCCAGCAACACAAATAGATCTGACCCGGTTTTCTTCCAGTTATCATAACTGGGTTACCCTGTGGACATCTTGAGCCCAGATACCATGTCTAACACATCTTCATACCCCAGTTCCTAGCATGGTGACTGGCATACAATTGACATGCCTTCCCTCTGCTGAGTTGAACCCTTAGGTTAAAAAAACTACCAGGCAAAATGTGTTACAGAATGCTGTCTAAATTAATAAAGAACTGAAAAAAAAAGCCATATGTACCTGCCCGTTTATGCACCCTCCAGCAATGATATTAGGGTCACTTGGACAGAACTGGAAGCAGAAGATGTCATCTGGGCTTTCCAGCATTAACTAAGGCAAACCCCCCAAATTCAAGAGAGAATGAGAAAATCTATTAAGATCATGGCTAGAAATAATATTAATAAAGTCAAAAGTCTAATTTTATAGCTATTTATAAGAAACATGCACATGAATTCCATTCCCAGAATCCTACCTCTGGATTGGAAGCTGCTTTTGCTGAATTTTATTCTGGACATTGATCATGCATATGAGAGCAGGTAGTTTCTCAAGGGGACCCAATCTCCCCTCCCCTCCCCTTTGTGGGTCATTGCTGGGGCATGTTATAATTTTTTATAAATAAAAAGACTATGAAATCAGTGTTTCTGAAAAGTGTGGAGAGCAAGCTCTGGGGGCCAGCATATTTGTATGATTTTTTCCCTGCTGCATATACCTAGTCTGGCACAGAGGTGAGCGCCCAAAAATAAAATGCGTTGAAAAAGAGAAGACGGCAGCTCTGCCAGCGGTAATATTACAAATTTTAAAATAATACGGAACCCATAAGGTAAACAAAATCAAGTGCCTGGAGGGTAGGGAGGAAGTCTTGCAAGGAATACACCGGTGTGAGGAAATAGATATACTAACCATAGTTAGCACCTGAGCTACTGTGTTACCACCAAGCTAAACACTTGCATGGTTGCCATTCTTTAAACATAACAGCCAAAAATACAGGCCCCAGAGGCCATTGGTTTGCCACCACTGAGCTAAGGATTTCAAATTGGAATTGAGGTGAATTATCTTGGTTTATTTGGTACTTTGTGGATTCTAGAGAAACCTCTACTTTTGAAAATGAAATCTTTTAATACTTTCCTATAGTTTTGATTAGAACAAAGACAAAATTAATCATTTGTATCATATCTTTAAGAAATTATTTACATGTCTTTTTAAAGCTATTCTTCAAAATAGAGGAAAGGTTAAAAATTTTTTTAAATAAAAATAAATAAATAGAATATAATTAACTTTATAAGTATATTTAACAAAACTATAAATTTTATATGGAATTTCTATCTTAATAAACTGATTACTGACTTCCTTAAGAAACTAAAATAAATAAATCACGTTTCTATATTAAAAAAATAGAGGACAGGAGAGTCTTTCTTTCCTCTTCCTATTTGCCTGGAGGTTCAGCCACACTTCCATGGCATGGAGTGAAGAGCAGTTCTACACTGCTGGAAAATGATAGGAAACACCAGTGAGAGAATGGCACCATACCTGTGGTAAGTAGGCTGACAAGGAAGAATGACAGATCTGTCATTTTGATCTCTGTATCTATAAAAAAGCATCTAGACTCTATAACAGTAAAACTGCCTTAATTCAGATGAATTAGGGAAGAAGGAATAAGGGGACACTAGGGTTTATTAGGGAAAGACTTAATTATATAATGCTTTATAAAAACAAAATATTATTATATTTAAGTACATTGAAAAAACTTAATCTAACACTATAAAGCACCCTCCCCCTAAGCAGAACTCATCTTGAGCAGATATCGGAAATTGAACACTGTGGGGGCAAACCCAGCCTTTAGCCTTATTTTATTTGGGCTGCTGTGTGTTTTGGTTTGGTTTTAGTTGAGCTGTTTGAAAATTGGGAGATCACACACAAAATTGCTGGATTCTCTTGACAAGTGGGACCACCTGGCAAGGAGAGTAGAAGAGTAGCTGTCCCCATGGATGGGCTGGGTACCCTCTAGGGCCACAGTCCCCACCATTCCCCACTGTCTCCCACACAGTCATCTTTACTCATTACCATCTCCTACTGGTGATCCTTGGAATCAAGGAAATCCACATGAAACTAAAATCTCTTTGCATTTGAACAATTAGTACCTAAATAAAGTCCATAAAAGAGTTTGCTCTTTAAAATCATTTGAACATTCCTCTTACAATGTTTTTTTTTAAATAACATGTTGATTTGTTCAATATATCTTTTCAATAAACTAAGTGTAAACTTAAATTTTGCTTAAATTGAATGATGACAAATTCTGAATTGAAGAAAGCCTAGCTTTATAGGGGTTTATAACATTAAGTGATTATAAAGTATTTTGCAATTAAAACTGCTAAAGATATGTGAAAGTAGTAGTTAAAATTTTTAGAACATGTGGATGACTCTCCTTCATTACCTGAGGCTGTATGGGATCGGAGAAACTCCAGAAAAGAATCAGTGATGGTTGCAGCAACAGTTTACCAGAAAATTGGACCCTCTCTTCAAAGGAGAGTCGTACAGCCACTGACACAGCTATTAGCCCTGATAGAAACACAACTAGAAATTAAAATCTGCAGCAACTGTGCATGGAGAAGTGTTTTTAGGTTTTGTTTTCCTACACAGTCACTGTTCATTTCCATTTTGATGAAACGTGTGTAAAAATATTCTACAGGAGACCAAGAGTGTTTTTAGAGCTCTACTGTCTAATACATTGGTTGCCAGTAGCCATGTGTTGCTTATTTAGCACTTGAACTGTGGCTGGACCAAATTGAGATGTTCACAAAATAAACAGTGTACTTTGAAGACTTAGTAAGAAAAAAAGATGTGTTGTGTTTCTTTTTTTGTTTTTGTTTTTTTGTGTGTGTGTGAGGAGAGGGCCAATGTTGGGCAGGAAAGGATGAAGAAAGAGGGCACAGATGGCTCTGTCCATGGATCCACCCTCACACATTCCTATCCCCTTGGTTGCTGAGCTCTTTAAAGGAGGTGTATCTCCTATCCCGCCCAGTAAGTTGAGAGTCAGGGGGAATGAAGTTCCAGATTTGGCATTGCACCAGCTGGGTGACCTGAGTCAGTCACTTTACTGAGAGCTCTGGTCCTCTCCTTATAAAGTAGAGACCACAATGTGGTCCCACAAGGTAGCTGGGAGGACACATGATGGAGAGAATGTGCAGAAAGTGCTTCGCAAGTGCCTGCACTCAGGAATGGAAGTTGTCTCATGGAAAGTGAGCTAGTTTGTAATTCTACATATAAAAGCAACAGATTATTTCAATCATCCCAGAATGGAATCCCAGTCATGATTCTGCCTCACCATAGATGATCGGATGCCAGGAGACACAGGTGATCATCTTCTCTGTTAGGTTATGCATGTAAGTAAAGGACTGGTACTCTTTCAGGTGGGTATCAGTCTTGTCCCCAAAGGTGCCTTCTTCTTCTGCCAGGCTTTTCCAGTCATTAATAAATGTATTCATGATTTCATTTTGCTGCAGGGCTATTTCAACACTATTTTGTAAAAGAAAAAAAAAGGAATCAAGATGTTGGATTTTAGTATTCAGTGATACGTCTTTCAGCAGCTCCTCCTGCTTCATTTATACTGAAAGAAAAAGTATTCTCAATTGTATTTGGTAACTAAAGATTAATCCTGTGTGAAATAAATGACTTAAGAGAAAAAAAATCAAGATAGTGTGCTACTCAAAACTTCTTCTAGTGCCAGGAAGGTGTTAGCTGACAGCCTCTAGCATCATCACAACTTGCCTCACTTTCCCAGCCAAGGTCATGCTCTCTCCCAGTCAATGACTGAGCATGGTGGGGGGACCTGCAAGATGGCAGAGGAGTGAGTCGTGGAGATCACCTTCCTTGCCACAAATATATCAAAAACACATCTAAATGTGGAACAACTCCTACAGAACACCTACTGAATGCCAGCAGAAGACCTCAGATTTCCCAAGAGACTAGAAGCTCCCCATGACGTACATGGCCATGTGGCCAACAGCATCTTGGTGCTCTGGCTGGGTGTCAGGCCTGAGCCTCTGAGGTGGGAGAGCTGAGTTCAGGACATTGATGCACCACAGACCTCCCAGTCCCACATAATATCAATCGGCAAGAGCTGTCCCAGAGATCTCCATCTCAACGCTAAGACCCAGCTCCAGTCAACGACCAGCAAGCTCCAGTGCTGGACACCTCAAGTCAACTAGCAAGACAGGAACACAACCCCACCCATTATCAGAGAGGCTGCCTAAAATCATACTAAGTTCACAGACACCCCAAAACACACCACCAGACGTGGTTCTGCCCACCACAAAGACAAGATCCAGCCTCATCCAGCAGAACACAGGCACCAGTCCCCTCCACCAGGAAGCCTACACAGCCCACTGAAGCAACCTTATCCACTGGGGGCAGACACCAAAAACAATGGGAACTACGAACAAGCAGCCTGTTAAAAGGAGACCCCAAACACAGTAAGTTAAGCAAAATGAGAAGACAGAGAAATATGCAGCAGAGGAAGGGGCAAGGTAAAAACTCACCAGACCAAACAAACGAAGAGGAAATGGGCAGTCTACCTGAAAAAGAATTCAGAGTAATGATAGTAAAGATGATCCAAAACCTTGGAAATTGGGGGCTTCCCTGGTGGCGCAGTGGTTGAGAGTCTGCCTGCCGATGCAGGGGACACGGGTTCCTGCCCCGGTCCGGGAGGATCCCACATGCCGCAGAGTGGCTGGGCCCATGAGCCATGGCCACTGAGCCTGCACGTCCAGAGCCTGTGCTCTGCAACGGTAGAGGCCACAACAGTGAGAGGCCTGCGTACCGCAAAAACACACACACACACACAAAAAAACCTTGGAAATCGAATGGAGAAAATACAAGAAACATTTAACAAAGACCTAGAAGAACTAAAGAGCAAACAAACAATGATGAACAACACAATGAATGAAATTAAAAATTCTCTAGAAGGAATCAATAGCAGAATAATTGACACAGAAGAATGGATACATGACCTGGAAGATAAAACAGTGGAAATAACTAGTGCACAGCAGAATAAAGAAGAAAGAATGAAAACAATTGAGGACACTCTCAGAGACCTCTGGAACAACATTAAACGCACCAACATTCGAATTATAGGAGTCTCAGGAGAAGAAGAGAAAAAGAAAGGGACTGAGAAAATATTTGAAGAGATTATAGTTGAAAACTTCCCTAATATGGGAAAGGAAATAGTCAATCAAGTCCAGGAAGCACAGAGAGTCCCGTACAGGATAAATCCAAGGAGAAACATGCCAAGACACATATTAATCAAACTATCAAAAATTAAATACAAAGAAAAAATATTAAAAGCAGCAAGGGAAAAGCAACAAATAACATAGAAGGGAATCCCCATAAGAAGGGTGTGGCAGGACATATATAAAGTGATGAAAGGGAAAAATCTACAACCAAGATTACTCTACCCAGCAAGAATCTCATTCATATTCAACTGAGAAATTACAGACAAGCAAAAGTTAAGAGAATTCAGCACCACCAAACCAGCTTTACAATAAATGCTAAAGGAATTTAGGCAGGAAACACAAGAGAAGGAAAAGACCTACAATAACAAACTGAAAACAATTAAGAAAATGGTAATAGGAACAGACATATGGATAATTACCTTAAATGTAAATGGATTAAATGCTCCAACCAAAAGATATAGACTGGCTGAATGGATACAAAAACAAGACCCGTATATATGCTGTCTGCAAGAGACCCACTTCAGTCCTAGGGACACATGCAGACTGAAAGTGAGGGGATGGAAAAAGATATTCCATGCACATGTAAATCAAAAGAAAGCTGGAGTAGCATTCTCATATCAGACAAAATAGACTTTAGAATAAAGACTTTTACAAGAGACAAAGAAGGACACTACATAATGATCAAGGAATCAGTCTAAGAAGAAGGTATAACAGTGGTAAATATTTATGCACCCAACATAGGAGCACCTCAATACATAAGGCAAATGCTAACAGCCATAAAAGGGGAAACTGACAGTAACACAATCATAGTAGGGGACTTTAACAGTCTACTTTCACCAATGGACAGATCATCCAAAATGAAAGTAAATAAGGAAATACAAGCTTTAAATGACACATTAAAGAAGATGGACTTAACTGATATTTATAGGACATTCCATCCAAAAACAACAGAATACACTTTCTTCTCAAGTGCTCATGGAACATTCTCCAGGATAGATCATATCTTGGGCCACAAATCAAGCCTTGGCAAATTTAAGAAAATTTTAGTTGTATCAAGTATCTTTTCCAACCACAACACTATGAGACTAGATATCAATTACAAGAAAAAATCTATAAAAAATACAAACACATGGAGGCTAAACAATACACTACTAAATAACCAAGAGATCACTGAAGAAGTCAAACAGGAAATCAAAACATACCTAGAAACAAATGACAATGAAAACACGACGACCCAAAACCTATGGGATGCCGCAAAAGCAGTTCTAAGAGGGAAGTTTATAGCAATACAATCCTACCTCAAGAAACAAGAAACATCTCAAATGTACAATGTAACCTTACACCTAAAGCAATTAGAGAAAGAAGAACAAAAAAACCTCAAAGCTAGCAGAAGGTAAGAAATCATAAAGATCAGATCAGAAATAAATGAAAAAGAAATGAAGGAAATGATAGCAAAGATCAATAAAATTAAAAGCTGGTTCTTTGAGAAGATAAACAAAATTGATAAAACATTAGCCAGATTCATCAAGAAAAAAGGGAGAAGACTCAATTCAATAGAATTAGAAATGAAAAAGAAGAAGTAACAACTGACACTGAAGAAAAAAAAAAGGATCATGAGAGACTACTACAAGCAACTATATGCCAAAAAAATGGACAACCTGGAAGAAATGGACAAATTCTTAGAAAAGCACAACCTTCTGAGACTGAACCAGGAAGAAATAGAAAATATAAACAGACCAATCACAAACAATGAAATTGAAACTGTGATTCAAAATCTTCCAACAAACAAAAGCCCAGGACCAGATGGCTTCACAGGTGAATTCTATCAAACATTTAGAGAAGAGCTAACACCTATCCTTCTCAAACTCTTCCAAAATATAGCAGAGGGAGGAACACTCCCAAACTCATTCCTTGAGGTTACCATCACCCTGATACCAAAACCAGACAAAGATGTCACAAAAAAAGAAAACTACAGGCCAATATCTCTGATGAACATAGATGCAAAAATCCTCAATAAAATACTAGCAAACAGAATCCAACAGCACATTAAAAGGATCATACACCATGATCAAGTGGGGTTTATCCCAGGAATGCAAGGATTCTTCAATATATGCAAATCAATGTGATAAACCATATTAACAAATGGAAGGAGAAAAACCATATGATCATCTCAATAGATGGAGAAAAAGCTTTCGACAGAATTCAACACCCGTTTATGATAAAAACCCTACAGAAAGTAGGCATTAAGGGAACTTACCTCACCATAATAAAGGCCATATATGACAAACCCACAGCCAACATCATTCTCAATGGTGAAAAACTGAAACCATTTCCACTAAGGTCAGGAACAAGACAAGGTTTCCCACTCTCACCACTCTTATTCAACATAGTTTTGGAAGTTTTAGCCACAGCAATCAGAGAAGAAAAAGAAATTAAAGGAATCCAAATCAGAAAAGAAGTAGGAAAATGGTCACTGTTTGCAGATGACATGATACTATACAAAGAGAATCTTAAAGATGCTACCAGAAAACTACTAGACCTGATCAATGAATTTGGTAAAGTAGCAGGATACAAAATTAATGCACAGAAATCTCTTGCATTCCTATACACTAATGATGAAAAATCTTAAAAAGAAATTAAGGAAACACTCCCATTTACCATTGCAACAAAAAGAATAAACACCTAGGAATAAACCTACCTAAGGAGACAAAAGACCTGTATGCAGAAAACTATAAGACACTGATGAAAGAAATTAAAGGTGATACAAACAGATGGAGAGATATACCACGTTCTTGGATTGGAAGAATCAACATTGTGAAAATGACTATACTACCCAAAGCAATCTACAGATTCAGTGCAATCCATATCAAACTACCAATGGCATTTTTCACAGAACTAGAGCAAAATATTTCACAATTTGTGTAGAAACACAAAAGATCCTGAATAGCCAAAGCAATCTTGAGAACAAAAAACGGAGCTGGAGGAATCAGGCTCCCTGACTTCAGACTATACTACAAAGCTACAGTAATCAAAACAGTATGGTCCTGGCACAAGAAAAGAAATATAGACCAATGGAACAGGATAGAAATCCCAGAGAAAAACCCATGCATCTAGGGTCAACTAATCTATGACAAAGGAGGCAAGGATATACAATGTACAAAAGATAGCCCCTTCAATAAGTGGTGCTGGGAAAACTGGACAGCTACATGTAAAAGAATGAAATTAGAACACTTCCTAACACCATACACAAAAATAAACTCAAAATGGATTAGACACCTAAATGTAAGGCCAGACACTATAAAACTCTTAGAGGAAAACCTAGGCAGAGCACTCTATGACATAAATCACAGCAAGATCCTTTTAGACCCACCTCCTAGAGAAATGGAAATAAAAACAAAAATAAACAAATGGGACCTAATGAAGCTTAAAAGCTTTTGCAGAGCAAAGGAAACCATAAACAAGATGAAAAGACAACCCTCAGAATGGGAGAAAGTATTTGCAAACAAAGCAAATGAAAAAGGATTAATCTCCAAAATATACAAGCAGCTCATGCAGCTCAATATCGAAAAAACAAAGAACCCAATCCAAAAATGGGCAGAAGACCTAAATCAACATTTCTCCAAAGAAGATATACAGATTGCCAACAAACACATGAAAGGATGCTCAACATCACTAACCATTGGAGAAATGCAAATCAAAACTACAATGAGGTGTCACCTCACACCAGTCAGAATGGTCATCATCAAAAAATCTACAAATAATAAATGCTGGAGAGGGTGTGGAGAAAAGGGAACCCTCTTGCACTGTTGGTGTGAATGTAAATTGATACAGCCCCTATGGAGAACAGTATGGAGGTTCCTTCAAAACCTAAAAATAGAACTACCATATGACCCAGCAATCCTACTACTGGGCATATACCCTGAGAAAGACATAATTCAAAAAGATTCATGTACCACAATGTTCATTGCAGCACTATTTACAATAGCCAGGACTTGGAAGCAACCCAAGTGTCCATCAACAGATGAATGGATAAACAAGATGTGGCACATATATACAATGGAGTATTACTCAGCCATAAAAAGAAACAAAATTGAGTTATTTGTAGTGAGGTGTACGGACCTAGAGTTGGTCATACAGAGTGAAGTAGGTCAGAAAGAGAAAAACAAATACTGTATGCTAACACATATATATGGAATCTAAAGAAAAAATAAAAAAGGTTCTGAAGACCCTAATGGCAGGACAGGAATAAAGACTCAGATGTAGAGAATGGACTTCAGGACATGGGGAGGGGGAAGGGTAAGCTGGGACGAAGTGAGAGAGTGGTATTGACATATATACACTACCGAATGTAAAATAGATAGCTAGTGGGAAGCAGCTGCATAGCTCAGGGAGATCAGCTCGGTGCTTTGCGTGCTTTGTGTCCACCTAGAGGGGTGGGATAGGGAGGGTGGGAGTGAGACGCAAGAGGGAGGGGATATGGTGATACATGTATACGTATAGCTGATTCACTTTGTTATAGAGCAGAAATTAACATAACATTGTAAAGCAATTATACTCCAATAAAGATGTTAAAAAAAAGACTGAGCATGGCCGCTGTGGGCACAAGGGCCTGCCAGTTCTGTCCCTGGCAGGACACCTCCAACAGGTCGTCTTCCTCTGCAGCTCCCTGTTGTGTTGGCTGAGAGTTTGTCTGAAGCTCTCCCTGTTCAATCTTGCTTCCCTTCCCTTTATTTTTCACAGTGAACTTCTCAGTAAACTTCCACTTTGAACTTGATCTCATTTGCTTTTTGAAAACTCCAAACTGATAGAAAAGGCAATTTTCTTAGCCATATTCAGTACCAAATGATCATGTATACTAATTATTGTATTTAAATATATATAATTATTATATTAATATATATAATAATTATACTATATACAATTTAAAACAACAAATAAGAGATTCTTAAGGGGAGATTTGGAACTTAGAAGTGTGTGTGTGTGTGTGTGTGTGTGTGTGTGTGTGTGTGTGTGTGTGCGGTGGTGGGGGGTGGTGGTGGTTTTAGCTGTCACAGTGTCTGGGAGGTGCTAATGTTTTTAATTCTATTACTAAACCTCCCACAATGCATAAGACAGTCCCTAAAATGAAGAATTATCCTGCTAAAAATACTAACGTTGCTCTTTTAAAAAACAATCTTGGTGCTCTTCTTAGTCTAGGGAACTTGGCTTGACAAGTTCCTGTTTTATAAGTTACTATAATGTTTATTGTCCCTTTATATGTTTAGGCTTGAAAGCTCAGCCCCCTCCCAAGGCCTCTAGGAGCCTTCCCATAATTAGAATGCCACCCAAGGTTTTACCCTAATGACTGAAAGTCTAAGCAACTTGGTTTTTTAATAAATATAGTAAGTTGAAGGTGGTTTTCAATTGTGAATTTCCTAAAATAAGAAAAAAACCCTTTATTTAGATAATTAAATATAAGCAGTAAGTATCCTAATAGATATTCCTAACATATTAAATAAGGGTACCATTTAATACCTGTGTCATTAATCATTACACTACCATTCACTGCGTAATTGAATACTCTTTGGTCTGAATTCTTCTTGTACTTCATCTTTCAAACTAGATGCATTTCCTTGGACCGGCAGCATCAGCATGACCTGGAGCTGTTAGAAATGCAAAGCAGCAGGCTCCACCCCAGACCTACTTAGTCAGAACCTGCATTTTAACAAGATGCCCAGGTGGTTCATATGCACATTAAAGTTTGAACAACCCTGTGTTTGAACAACCCTGAAAAACCCTATGAACAACCCGGAGCTTCAAGGTTTAAGCCCAGTTTCAAGTAGAAGCATTTGTTAGCATTTTCAAAATCACTTCTTTCTGTTTCAGCCTGAACTGTCTTCACAAGGGAGAAGTGAAGACAGCACCTTTTCTCTGGTTTCCTGTTTCTTGATTTTGGTGCACTCTCCCACGTGGTTCCTGAGAGAGATGAACTGGAGGCTGGCAAAGCTTGTTGTCTGAGTGAAAGCCCATGGGTATTACTGTGTTTTTAACCCCCAAACGAACGTTTGTTAGTTGCTTTGAGAATCCTCTTGAAGTTTCTCTCTCTCCTCTCAGATCATTTTCTTCTTTTGCAAATAATCCTTGCCTTAGGTTTGTTCTGGACAAAACTCTATGAGAAGGAAAGAACTCATTTCTAAAAGAGCTCTCTTCCAGAACAAAACAAGGCTTATTCTAATCTTAAAAAATTAAGTAAACCTTAAACAGTTCTAGAGTGGGAAGCATGGCTGTGATGTAAATGTGGTGTCTTATTTATTCTTGGCCAATGCTGTTAAAATTCCTGTACCAATTTTCCTCTTTCTTCTTATAGTTCTGGCTCCTCCTTCCCACATCTCAAGGAGGGAATTATGAAGCTGTTCACCATCCCTCTCCTTATAAGCTTGGCAATTGAAAGGGAAGAATAAAAGCCCACGTCTAAAGATAATACAGGGACTTCCCTGGTGGTCCATTGGCTAAGAGTCTATGCTCCCAATGCAGGAGGTCTGGGTTGGATCCCTGGTCAGGGAACTAGATCCCACATGCATGCTGCAACTAAGGATCCCCCATGCCCGCGTGCTGCAACAAAGATCCGGCTTGCCGCAACTAAGACTCGATGAAGCCAAATAAATAAATATTAAAAAAATAAATAAAGATAATACACAATGTAGATAATTGAGAATTGGCTATAGACCATTTATTCCCTTGAAATTGATTGTACATAGACAGACTTCTCATTTTTAATGTCCTTAGGAAAAATTTTAATAATTACTTAATTTTGATATGAGGAAAAGAAACCTCAGGTTTTCTGGTTTCTTTCTAATTGTCTACATAGGAAAAACTATAGCACACATGCTGTAAGTGAGTGGCAAATAGTTAATAAGCTCTCTTTGAATAATTAGTGAATTTTTGAACCAGATTCTCTCTAGGCATAGGTAACTTTTGAGAGTTGTTGGAATTTCCTTTTCTTTTTTTTTTAACATCTTTATTAGATTATAATTGCTTTACAATGTTGTGTTAGTTTCTGCTGTACAACAAAGTGAATCAGCTATATGTATACCTATATCCCCCTCCCTCTTGGGCCTCTCTCCCACCCTCCTCCATCCCACCCCTCTAGGTCGTCACAAGGAATTTTCAAGATATTTAGTCTTAAAATGTTTTCTTAAAAATAAAAATAGAAGAGCTTAACTTGGGCTGTATATGAACTTGTCTACCAAATCTTTAATTTTGGGAAGAAATGGTAACCAATCGTACAACTGGTAGACATGTCCACCATTGGCTCCACTTACCTGAACTCTGATATCAACTTGATGAGACCTTCAAACTCTTTCTCTGGTTTAGAAGTCCCCAGGGTCTGCTTAGGGCCTGAATATGAGTGTAGGGGGCATTTTAAAGACACTTCTCTTTCAGGGCCAGTAAGAGTGGCAGCAACACAGGAATTAGAGATAAGGTGACATATCCAAAAATTACATATGAACTGACCTCAGATTCTTATTTAAAAGGTATTTTTGTAAATTCCTAGCATCATGGTAATGATATCCTCAACATCCACAACATCCTCACCTTTGTCATCCTGTAAAAATCAATGAAGCTAAGAAGGGGACTGAGGAGTGAAGAAAAAGACTTAAATAAGGGAAACCATGGTAAATAAATGTTAATTTTCCGTTAGGAAAACATCCTCACATGTTCAACTATATACACCTTCCAGGCTGACACTGTTTGGTGTGGCCCTAGCTTAGAAGGTCTAGCATGTTGCTTAGCAATAGAAGGGAAAGAAAGACTGAGAATCTATAGAATGTGTCACATGCTGATGCGTATCTGATAACTGTCTTCATACTTTCTATCTGTACACCAGGTACAGAGTTGTTTTTTCAGACCTCTTATTATAAGGAAACATATACATTTTATGTTTTTTAAATTTAATATACAATTTTTACCTTATAGACACATTGTTAAGAAACTCAGTCAAAGTCTTTGATTGTCCCAGTGCGTCTTTTTCTTCTTCCGAAAATTCTCTTGGATAATATTGCGTAGTAGCATTTTTGGGATATGTCCTAATATATTGAAAGAAATCGAACACTAAAAGTTAGATCAAAGACAAGCAAATATAGGTCATAACAGGGCAAAGATTTTTCTCTGTGACAATATTAGGATATTATTTTATACTTAAATTCTATATATTGAATTCTTTCTTTATCCTAGACAATTGATGTTGGTTGCCATTCTAACTATTTGTGAATTTCTCTTTGACATAATCAACAAGTTCTTTATTGTAAAAAAAAATATTTAGGGCTTCCCTGGTGGTGCAGTGGTTGAGAGTCCGCCTGCCGATGCAGGGGACACAGGTTTGTGCCCCGGTCCGGGAAGATCCCACATGCCGCGGAGCGGCTGGGCCCGTGAGCCATGGCCGCTGAGCCTGCGCGTCCGGAGCCTGTGCTCCGCGACGGGAGAGGCCACAGCGGTGAGAGGCCCGCGTACCGCAAAAAAAATAAATAAATAAAAACTATCAGGCTGTATCTTCAAAGGAAGAGCAGCATTAAAAAATATATATATATTTAGCTATCATTTTAAACTTACAGAAAAGTTGTAAGAAGGGTATAAGAAATTCCCATACATTCTTTACCCAGATTCATTAATTATTAACATTTTGTCACATTTGTGTATCATTCTTTCTTCATTTCATTAAATCAGTGTTTCTCAACCAGTGCGATCCTGTTCCATCTTCTCAATCCAGGAATACTTGGTAATGTCTGGAAACAATGTTGGCTGTCACAACTGGGAAGAGCTCCTGGCATCTAGAGGGTAGAGCCCAGGGATGCTAGAGTGCGTAAGGCAGCTCTCCCACAACAGAGAATTATCCAGCCGGTAGTGTTGAGGTTGAGAAACTCTGCTCTAAATATACAAAACCTGGAACAAGCTACATTTTGGCAGTAATGGCAGCACCATCTCTGGGAGAAAAATTATTGCATCCAGTCCACTCTCAGTGTTCACCTCCACCCTTGAACACAACACATTGTATTGTACCTCTGGGCTTTGTGAGTCTCACCCACTAGACTGAGTGAGCTCCTTGATCTTAGGGTGTGGGGCTGTAGAAAGATCATATGGCAAGTCCTTAAGAGAGTGCACTCTGGTGACAGGCTGCCTGGCTTTGAAGCCTGGTTCTATCACTTACTACCTATGTGACCCTGAGCTAATTATTTAACCTCTCTGTGCCTGGCTTTTCATCCCTAAAAGAAATTCTGAAAGTCCCTAGCTCACAGTGTCATTGTAAGGATTGAATGTGTTAATAGATGCAAAGCTTTTAAAACAGTGCCTAGGACATTTTAAGTGCTCAAAAAAAATTAGGTTGTATTTAACCTGTGTTGTTGAACAAATGTCAGGAAAATGTCTCTGAGAGGCAAGTATATTAATGGAGAGTAATCAAACAGAGCGGTAAAGAGAGTTTTGTTTATATTTAATTGAACAATGCATTCTTTTTTTCCCTGCCTAGATCAGTATCCACGGCAGAAGACAGAGTGATGGAAAGAAAGAATGCTGGTGCTGGAACCAGAGACTTGGGTTCAGATCTTAGCGTCACCTTTAATTTTCTATCCCACACTAGTACCCTCCAGGTAGGATTAAGTAAGAAATTATATGGTGCCTGGTGGTTTCATCAAAGCAGCAATATGACTGAGTCACTCTTATTTTTTAAAATGTGATTTGTTTTCTTGTTTCTCAGCAGATCTATTCATTATTGCTTTAAATTTAAATTATGTTCTAAACATTGAGCTTTCATTTTTAACCTCTTTTTGCCTTAGTTTCCTTATTTGTAAAATGGAATGGTGCCTACCTCAGAGGGCAGTTGTGAGGATTAATTGAGTTGATATGTGCAAAGTATTGATTCTTAGAAGAATGCCTGGTATGTGGTAAGAACACTGTAAACATTTGCTTTCATTGTCATTACTCTTTGAACCTCATCTTTGATTTTGTTTTTTTACTTCTTCCATCACAATCATATATCCCATCTTTTCCACCTAATTTCTGATCTTAGTAAGTGGTACGAGCATTCTCCCAAGTCACCTGGATTTGAACCATTTGAATTCCCTTTGATTTACTCCCCCCCACCACCCCACTTTGTGGGTCAAGACCTGCCGCTAAATCCTCCATCTACATAGAAACAACTGTTCATCATTATCAGTCAACATTCATTGAGAGTCTAATAAATCTAGAGTCCTGTGGTTAGGGTCCCTGTTGTTAGAAGTTCACTCTCCCTTTCTGAGTCTACCTCGTGAGTCTACCTTGGCTGACTCATTCTTTTCACTTTTCTGCAACCTGGTAGAAAAATAGAAATCTCTAGCTGTCTTGACTAAGAAATTTTTCTCAAAATCTAAGTTTCTTTTGTACTAACGAATCACCTCTCTCTTTCCTGTCTTACCCTCACTTCTTGGTGTTTAATGATCTTTGATGTCCTAATTCTCTGCCAAGACTTGACTACCAATCCTTGTCTTTCTCGTCATCTCTTTTGGTTTGGCCTGTCTGTCTATCTGCCTCCCCGGTTTCATGACCCATGTCTTGTCCTGACCGCTGGTATCTAGGTACATGTGCTCTAACTTTAACATTACATTTTAATGGTTCCTGATCCTTTGGTTCACAGAGATCTGAAAATAATGTTTTGTACTGTGGTCCACACTGAGGACCCAAGATTCTCCTGGTCACAGCCTCTCTCACTGTATATTTCATGGCTCTTCTCTAAACATTGAACTCAAGTCAGTGACGCTGCACACTCTTCCTTAACTTGATCATTCTCCTCCTCCTTCCCTTCCTTGGTTCCTTTTCCCCCTCCATTTAATAAATATGTGCCAGGAACTGTCCTAGGAGTTGGGGATATAGAAGTAAACAAAATAGACAAAGTTCCAGTCTCATGGAGCTTCAGTTCTAAGTGGTGGTGAGGCGAAGGTGAGAGAAGAGAGACAATGCTTGGTGAATTCAAGGAACAAGGAAGCCAGTGGGGCTGGAATGGATGAACCAGGGGAATTGTGGGAAATGAGGGTAGAGGGGCAGATGGAATTTAGATCACACGAAGCCTTGTAGGTTCCTTCAGGATGGGAAGCCATAGGAGGGTTTTTGTCAGTGACATGATATGACTTGCATTTTAACAGGATTAGTCTGGCTCTTCTATGAAGAACAGAATGTAGGAGGGAAAGGATGGATGGAGAAAGCCCAGTTAGGGTGCATTCCAGTAACCTAGGCAAGAGACGATCGTGGCTTGAACCAAGGTGATAGCAGTGAATATGTTTTGAAGATAGACCCAAGAAAATTCAAGGTTTGGGGTCTGAGTAATTACAAGAAGATCAGTGCCATGTACTGAGATGAGGAAGATTCAGGGAGTTTCAGGTACGAAAATAGAAAATCAAAAGTTTGTTGTTGGGCGTGTTAACTTTGAAACACCTATTAGATACTTAAGGAAGCATATGAATATATGAGTGTAGAGTTCAGGGGAGAGACTGAGCTTGAAGGTATAGATTTGGGAGCCACCAGCAAACAGATAATAGGTAACACCACAGGAATGAATAAATTCACCCAGGGATTAAGCGTAGTTAGAGAAAACAGCAAAAGGAGTTAGCTTTGGGATCCTTTAATATTTAGAAATCGGAAGGAGAAGGATCAAGTGAAAGAGACTGAGAAGCAGCTGCCAGTGAGTTAGGAGGGGTACACTGAGTATTGCCCATAAGCCAAGAAGGAGAAATAGTCAACCATGTTAAATACTGATGAGAAGCGGAGAAAGAGGGTGTCTGAAAATGGGATTAGGCGATCAGACCACTGCAGGTCTTTGGTGACCTTGTTAAGACTAGAGTGGGCTCAAGGCAGAATGGAAGAGAAGGTGCAACTAGAGAATGTGAAAAACTGCTGTGAGGAGTTTTGTTGTTAAAAAGAAAAAGAAAAAAAAAGCAGAGAAAGTAGCTAATAGCCAGAAAGGTTGAAACAGTTTTTTGTTTGTTGGCTTTAATGATGGGAGTTACAGCATTTGGTATTTATACATGTCTCCTCTTCACCGTCTCTTCTTGGTTTGCTGACACCATCTTACTTTACCTGGTTTAGTTACAGTAGATTCCCATTTGGCCAATCTCCTCAACTCCCGGTTTTTTTTTTTTTTCCCTCTGCACTCCAATACATACTGCCTGGCTCATCTTACTTTAATAGCTTTAATCTTGCCTCTCCCTTGCTTCAGACCTTGCCAAAATTCCCTATTGTCTGCCACAGAGAATCTGCTTGTCTCTGCTGCTCCCTCCACGCTACTCAGGCTGGTCACCTTGTGGTCCCATGCAGACTCTGTTCATCCCACCCCCTAGATGTTCAGGTCATTTAAAAAAATCTGGGATGTTTTCCCTTTATGTCTCCAAATCATATTCAACATTTGTAGCTTATCTTTTATTGATCTAAAATTATTTCAAAATAACTTTTTTTAATCCTAAAAAATATGCATAGATTACCTAAATACGTCTTCAGATTTATACAACATTCAAAGCTGAGCTCAAGTCCCCAAAACATTCCCTCAGCAATCAATTTTACATCAATTCATTCACTGGATAAATTTTAATTAAATTACAAATTTAATTAATCATTTGTAGTCTCAAAGTGCTCAGGATCTAAGGCAGACAGGTGAGCAGATGAATAAAATATGGGTCATCAGTACTACAGTAAAGATACCTCTAAGCTCTAGTGGGAACCCAGAGGAGAGAGTGATCAGCTCTACCTGGAGTTTCTAGGAAATCATAGAGGAGGGGGTACTGAACTGGAACTTAAAGGGTGAAGAGGGGTGGGTAAGGTAGTGAAGGGCATTTTATGCAGAGGAATAGCAAGGGCAAAGGCAGGAAAACATGGGAGAGCAGGTATTCTGGGAGCTGGAAGTAGCTCATAGGCTAGAGCACAGAGGGCTTGCTTGGGAACAGGGCTGGACAGGCAGACAGTGCCTTGTCATGAAGGAAGGAGGACCTTATATGTCATCCTAACGGCTCTGGATGAGATGGAGAGACATGGAAGAGATTTGGGCAGTAGTGAAGTAAAACAATCTAATTTGGTACGTAAGAATGATCACTTAGGCAGTAGAATAGACAAGTTAGAAGGCAATGGTCATATTTCAGATGAGATGACCAGGTCCCCTTCTCTGAGAGAAGTACTACAGTTATTAACAGCATTGCTCATTTTCCCACTTCATAATCTTTACAGTCTTATATACTTGTATTTCATTTTCCTAGTAAGATTGTTAAAAGGCATTGTTGCCTATAATTAGATCTTGAGCTGAATTACTCTGTGGAGATCTGGCATCACTGTCAATGCATTTCTATTATACAGATCTCTCAAAGTAATCATGGATGTTGCTGGATTTTACCACAATTGCCTTTGAAAATACATATAAATTCATCACATACTTACCATCTTGTCTGAGTACTTGTGTCCTTGATTTTGGGGACTACTTGCATGCCAACATCTCTCTCAAGTTGCTTAAGGGTAAACTTTTTATCTGGGTAGGCTGTACATTCAATATAGGCATCTTTTACGCTGGAAGCATTCTGGTCACTGAACTTAACTGGGGCACCAAATTCACTTCGTTTTCGAGAAATCATATATGTAATCTGCAACACATGTAAGCAGTACAGGAAACAATCGAGTCTCTGGAGAAAAATGATGTGTGGTCGATAACACTGGTGCTCTGCCCACATCCTCTTGGACCCCTTTGTGTACTTTCTGTGCACCTTTCCAGGTCCTTTTGCTCTCTGTTCCCACAGCTACCAGCCACCTACCTCTCTTCTGTGGAGGATGCTCTAGAGCTACCAGGACCACTTTGCCTGAAGGTACAAAGAACGGGAAGTGACTGGAAGTTCATATCCAGACCAGCAATGGACTGGTGGGCGACATATGGAAGCCCATCTCTTTTGCTTCTGTTTGGGACAACTCTGAGGTATAATTTACACTCCAGAGTTCCCTAGAGGTGCAGGCTGAAGCCTTCACTCTGCCAGACTTTTGCCTGAGAGTGTACCCTTGCAGGGCTTCTGTCTCAGTCCTGCTGCTTTCCTATTCTCTTTCATAATAAATCACTTGCACACGATTGCTCCTCTCAGGGGCTGATCTGGGAATGCCACTTGGTTAGTTTCCTAGGGCTGCTGTAACCACATACCACAGACTAGGTAGCTTAAAACAACAGGAATTTATTCTCTCTTGGTTGTGGAGGCTGGAAGTCTGAACTAAGGTGTTGGAGGGTTGGTTCCTTCTGAGGCGGAATCTGTTCCCTGCCTGCTCCCAGCTTCTGATGTGATGGCCAGCAATCCTAGGTGTTGCTTGGCTTGTGATACATCACTCCAATTTCTGCCTCCGTCTTCCATGGCGTCCTCCCTGTGTCTCTATGTTTTCACAGGAGCGTCTTCTTATAATGACGCCTGCCGTATTGGATAAAACTCCCCTCATTTCCTTTCTGAGGTACTGGGGTTTAGGACTTCAACTTATCTTTTGGAGGGAGACACAGTCCAGCCCATAACACCCTCCTAAGACAGTGACCATTCTTCTATCAAAAAAAGCCATATCCCTGCAGCAAACACAGCAAACCACACTGATCCCTCGGGAATACGTGTTGCTCAGCTATAGGGAGGTGACAGCTAGACATCATATTCAAGCTGCTTACCTCTTTTGTGGATTCTTTAACTGATTCTTCCTCAATTTCTTTTTCACTGCCCAGAGAAACCCATGGTTTAGAGATAGGTGGCTTATAAATATGTATGTCTTCAGGAATATGCTCTTTATATTCTTCTTGCTCTTCTGGAACTTCTGGAGGCTGCAATAAAATAAATAGGATTCTAAAATGTATTACCAGGGCTTCCCTGGTGGCGCAGTGGTGAAGAATCCGCCTGCCAACACAGGGGACACAGGTTCGAGGCCTGGGCTGGGGAGATCCCACGTGTCGTGGAGCAACTAAGCCCGTGCGCCACAACTACTGAGCCTGCACTCTAGAGCCCGTGAGCCACAACTGAAGCCCACATGCCTAGAGCCCACGCTCCGCAACAAGAGAAGCCACCGCAATGAGAAGCTCGCGCACCGCAACGAAGTGTAGGCCCCACTCACCCCAACTAGAGAAAGCCCGCGCGCAGCAACAAAGACCCAACGCAGCCAAAAATAAATAAATAAAATAAATAATAATAAAAGTTTTAAAAATAATATATTAAAAAATAAAATAAAATATATTGCCAGAAAAAAACCTATGGCTGCCAAAGGGAAAGGGGGGAGGAATAAATTAGGAGGTGGGATTAACATATACACACTACTGTATATAAGATAGATAACCAACAAGGACCTACTGTATAGCACAGGGAACTCTACTCAGTATTTTGTAATAACTTATAAGGGAAAAGAATCTGAAAAAGAATATATATATACATATATACACATATGTATATAAAACTGAATCACATTGCTGTACACCTGAAACTAACACAACATTGTAAATCAACTACACTTCAATTAATAAAAAAGAGACAAGTTCAGCAAATATATATACATATTACGAAATTTAGGTTATAAACTTTGCTTTTATATAAATTCGTTAAGCTCTTATTATTTTTCTTCTTTGTTGGTTCATGCTTTTCAACTATGAGAGGGAAACTATGTAAAAAAAAAAAGGAAGAATGACAAAAAAGAAAGAGATCAAGGATATATATATATATATAAAGAAGATGAAAGAATCAAGAGGGGAGAGGAAAAAAAGGAAAAGATGTGTGGTAAGAAAAAAGCATTTACTGTATGCGTTTAAGAATATGGAATGCTAAAACTTGATAAAATATAAAACTAATTTTCTCTGATTTAATGAAATGTTTTTCTGATGAGAGGATTATATATATGAATAAATATGATATCCATTAAATTATAAAGAGCAAATGTTTTTTAAACCAAGATGTCCACAAGAAGATATACAGACAGATAAAGATATAGATACAGGTACATATATAGATATATAGATGTTCACTGCTACTTTATTCATAATAGTGAAAAAATGGGCAACCAGATGAATATCAATAGGGAAAAGGGTTGATACATTTTGGTATAGTCAGAAGATAAAAATCTCATAAAACAGTTGCAATGAACAAACTCAATCTACATGTATATGATTTTAAACATATCAACATGAATAGATCCTAGAATTTTACAATTTGGTGAAAAACAAAAGTTGCAAAACAAGTTGTATAATACAATTTTATATAAAATTTAAATGAAAGAAACAATAAAATGTATTATTTGTGGAGCATACATGCATGGTAACAGTATGAAACCATGGACAGAAGACTATATAACAACGTTAGAATAATAGTTCCTTATAGAGAGAAGTTAGAAAAATTGAATTAAGGAGGATATAAGAGGCAGTGAAACATTATCTCTTATATTTTCTTTCCTTTCAAAAGAATTTGAAGTAAATATGATAAAATATTAACATTTGTTAATTCTGAGTGGTGACTGTATAGATATTTGTTTCATCATCTGTGCTTTTCTATACACTTGAAATATTTCACCATAATAAAAAAATTAAAACACAGATTAAAGCAATCATAAAAATAAAACTGAAAATGTTAAGGCTAACTGAGAAATTATTTCAAATGTAAAAAGTGTTCGATATTTTAAAATTCTATGGCTTTCCTTATTTTTCTTGCTTATTGGACAACCACACAAACCCCTCTGTCTCCCTCAGTTTGACCAAACCTCCCCATGAGGATGCCAGACCGGAAGGCAAGTGTCAGAAACCTGTTGCCTTTCATGACCACTTTGAACGCAACATCCCAAAGGTGAACTGACTTCCTTTCCTTGGAAACTACCATTCTTTTATAATCTGCTTATCTTTGACACCCTGTTCCCCTCAATTGCCCACTGACCAGGTTGTCCTTTAAAAATTTTGCTTTTAAATAATCATAGCAAAAATTTATGGAGCACTTAGCTTTGTGCCAGGCACTATACAAAGGGCTTTACCTGCATCAGCCCATTTAATCTTCACAACAGCCCTATTGGTGCCACCATTTTGCAGATGAGAGGTTCAGTAGCTTACCCAAAGTCATGGTGATGGCAAGAGAAGAAGCAGGAATATGGGCCAAGGAATGGCCGAGAGCAGTGGTACTCCAGATTTGTTGTTTCCAGTCCCACTGGGTAAATGAAGGGCAAATAAGTAGAGTATCTGCTACCCTGAGTTGTCTGAGTTAGCTCACCCTTAGCCCACCTACTCTAGGCCCCAGGGAATCAGAGCTGAACGAGAATAATCATGACCATGTCTGGAGTTCCCCCAGAGGTACTGCTTCCTTCTGACAATCGACAGATTGCTTAGGGTGTGCTTACATTTAAATAGTTTTCCTTGCCCTCTTCAGTTCCAATAAAATAAAAGTTAAGTCCATATTTGAAGTCTTTGTCGTAAACAAGGAGAAGCTCATCTCCAGGATATTCCTACAAAAATATAATCAAAACAGAAGGTTAATGTTCAGTAGTCATTCAGTTTATTCAGATTTGACACAAAATTAATATTTCTTTAATCAATCAATCATAGAAGATAACCATGGTGCTAACCTATGGTTAATAACCTCAAATTGCAAAGTTATTTTATTAACTTACAAACGCTCTTAAAACACAATGCATCCAGGAAAACTTACCATGCAATTTTATTTCTAACAGGAAAAAAAGGAAGCATTCCTTTTATTTGGTATTGTGCTCTGTAGCATGTTTGCGGACAAATCAGGACTAAAATTATGAATTAAACAATTAAAGCAGTATGGGAAAATAAGGGTAGGTTCCCTTTCTAGCTAAAATTGGGCAAGGATGAGCTTTTCTGGGTGTGGAGTAAGACAAAATGTCACAGATAGGAGTTCGCTTTTCACAAAGGGTCATCAAGAAGGATTCCCAAGGAGGGATGGGCAAGCTAGCATTTGCCCAAAGTAATGGGAAATGCCAGATTTGAACTCAGAAATCTCTCCAACTTTTGTGATTATGTATCAGGAACCTCTTGAGGTAGGACTGAAAAATAAAGAGGGATACTGTACTTACCTGAATAATTTTTTTGACTGGGTAGAAATCAGATACTGCAGCTCTGTTTTCAAAGTCTGCAAAAATATCTTCTTTTCTGATAAGTTTATAAGGTTGTTCATCTGTGACATCTTCATCTATTCTGCAGTTAAATATCTCCTGGGTCTTGCTAGTTAACACTAAAGGATAAATTTCTGGATGACCTGGGAAAGGCAAAGTGGAATTTGGACATTAAATATAACCATTTAAAATATTAACACTAAGAAACATGCAATTGTTTGCTTTAAATAATTGCCTTGGTTAAAATTTTAAAAGACTTTAAAATCATTGTTCATATTTTTAAAGTAAGTTTATCCATTATAAAAAATGTCAACAAATGAACTTATTTACAAAACAGAAACAGACTCACAGACTTAGGAAACAAACGTATCGTTACAAAAGGGGAAATGTGACAGCAGGGAGGGATAAACTGGGAGTTTGGAATTGACATATACACACTACTATACTTAAAATAGATAACCAACAAGGACCTACTGTATAGCACAGGGAACTGTACTCAATATTCTATAATAACCTCAATGGGAAAAAAATCTGAAAAAGAATAGATATATGTATAACTGAATCACTTTGCTGTACACCTGAAACTAACACAGCATTGTAAATCAATTATACTCCAATATAAAATAAAAAAATTTTTTAATGTCAAAAAGATAAAAAGATGAAAATAACAATTCCCCATAATTCTATCTCTCAAGAGAGAACCTCTATTAATCGTTTGCTCTATTTCCTTCCAGTCACTCCATATATAGTATCTTAAATGAAATTCTAAATCCTGCCTTTCATACTTACTATTATGTCACTAGAATTTTACTATGACATCATATAATTTTTCTAATGCATCATTTTAAATTAATGTAATTCTATAGCATAATTTTTAACTGTTCTGTTGTTGGTAAGCATTACATTTTTTCTCATTTGTTTCTAGTGATTATAAATAACTCTACAAACAAATATATAGTTTATAAACTTTTATCACATTTCAAATTATTTTCTTAGGTTTTAAAAAAAAATTTTGTGTGTGGCTTAACATTATATTTTAAATCTGAAAGAAGACAAAGGTCAAATTCTCAAAACTAATACTTAAGATCTAATGAATAACAAAAGCGTAAGAACCAAGACAGTTATATATGATGAGAATGTACAGAAATGGCCTGCATGACAGTTGAAAATAGCAGTTCATATTTTTTTTTCAGTTATACATATACATGTATCTGTTCTTTTTCAAATTATTTTCCCAGGATAGGTTGTAAAAGTGAAATTATTGGTTCAAAGGTATTATCACCATCTTAGGCTCTATCAAACCTGTATTGCTCTCCTAAAACACCTCCTCCCTCACCCCTTCACCTGTTGCTCTCTCTCACCAGGTGACCCTGCTTCCTCTCACAGAGAAAATTCTGTGTCTGTACAGCAAAGAATCCTGTGATGTCCCGCAGCCCTGCCCACCAGCTCATCAGCACAGGCCCCGTCTTTCTGCCCTTCCCCCCAGTTCGAAGACCTGCCTGCCCCTCTCCACCCTTCTCAGCCCATCAACTCTTCCTCTCCCGTCAACCTTTCCTACCTCTGCGCTGTTTGCCCTCAGCATGCTGATTTGCTCAATGGTCTCCCGTTTTAAAGAAACTTCCCTTGACCCTAGATAGGTACCTCTGCTCCCTAGGGCTCTTTTTCAGTCAAACTTGTTATTCAGTTCTTCACACTTTTTTTTTTTTTTAAATTTATTTATTTTTGCCTGCGTTGGGTCTTTGTTGCTGTGCACGGGCTTTCTCTAGTTGTGGTGAGCAGGGGCTACTCTTCATTGCGGTGCGCGGGCTTCTCATTGCGGTGGCTTCTCTTGCTGAGGAGCACGGCCTCTAGGGAGAGCGGGCTTCGGTAGTTGTGGTGCCTGAGTTTAGTGGCTCCGCGGCATGTGGGATCATTCTGGACCAGGTCTCGAACCCGTGTCGCCTGCGTTGCCAGGTGGATTCTTAATCACTACGCCACCAGGGAAGCCCTAGTTCTTCACACTTTAAAGCTACTGACTTTCCAATTAGGTTGTATTAGTAAACCTGGAACTGGGGAGGAAGGTGAGGTAGGGAATCCTTCTTCCCTCCTCTGGTTCCCCAGTCCCAGAATTGCCCTCAAAAGAGGAGGGAGGGGAGGTTCAACAGGCTTCCATTCCTGTTCTTCCTGTCCCTTTGCCCCCCACCCCAGGTCAGTCCTGGGCAGCAGAAAGCCCTGGGACAGCAGATGGAAGAAGACAAGTTATCGTTTTGCGTCAATCTTCTCTCTCAACCCTACCTCTCATTTTCTTATCCTTTTTATCACCATCAGCTTCTACCACCCCAGGTTCAGTTCTGCATTTATCCCCAGAACTCCCTCCCCCAACTCTATGCTCCGGGGGCCCCAGAACCCACTCCCATCCTCTCCAGGCCCCCCACACCTGGATGTCCCAACATCCTCCCTCCCACTGCTCAACAGGTGCGTCCTCGAGGCGAAAAGTGCATGCAGCCTCTCAAGTAGGAATTTTGAGCTTATTTTCCCGCAGAAACATTGACCCCTCGCCCTGGAAGCTCTATGATATGATTATTCAGGTGATTATTAGTGACTCTATGCATAACACTGATTATGTATGGAAATATATTCCAAATTGCAATCAGTTGGCATAATAAACAAACATTTGGAATACAAGCGGTTCATAAATTAGGGACAAATTGCCCATTTTTATCTCCCCTTAAAATACTAACCCTAACACCTGCATGTAGAGGATGCTCAAAGGCAACTGTTTTTTTTTGTTGTTGTTGTTTGTTTGCTTCAGATCATATTTATTGTGGGGTTCGGGGTGGGGATCTTGGGGTTAGAGTGCAGCAACTGTGGCTGGCAGGATAAGCCGCTATCGATGTGCCTGCGGGAGCTGTCCAGGTGTCAGTGTTGGGATGGTCCAGGGCCAGAGGGCACGCAGGATCCCGGGGGTGCTTATGACAGGAAGCAGTGTGCTGGCGCCTGGGATGAAGGGGTCTCCAGAGCTTCACACACAGCAGGGCCCCCAGCACGCCCTCGGGGGGGGGACCTCAGGGCCCAGATCCTGGCTGCTGGTGCGGCAGAGGTGACGTTGCAGGGCAGCCACAGCCTCGGCGTCTGCCCCAAAACAGCTGTTGACTCGATTCACATGCAAGTTATCCTTTAAAATCACACTGCCAGCCATAATTTGTAGAGTGTCCGATGCATAACAGCCCTTGGAGTTTTGTCTTGGAAAACCACTAGGTGGAACTGTGAGACCCACACTGAGCTGAAGCCAAAAAGGAGGTGGCTGCCCTTCATAAACAGAGGTGCTCACAAAGACCAGAAAGCTTCCTACCCTTCACAAAACTGGAAGGACACTGACAAAGATGGTGTTCTATGTCACCTGCTCCCACTAAACATACTTCAAATCCTACTGGCTGGATATTTGTCATAAAAATAATCCTTTTACACTAATTGGGCTTTTTCAAGGCAACTTTAATAGAGGATCTAACATTCCTTTATTTAGAAGTTAGCAGTAGTAGTAGCCTGTTTCTGGCTGGGGTCGGGAATCGGTAATAACTGCAGGCAACTAGTAGCCAATAGACTACACAGAACTCCTAGAGTCTAGTACCTCCGTGCCCTACCTGAACAATGGCCAAACTAAACAGAGCAAGGCCTGACGCTACTGGCCATCCCAAGGGTCTCTGGCTAAACTCAGTGTAAGAATTGTTGTTATTTAGGCTTTGAGGCCTGCACTGAAGATAGCACTGTAGGTATGTAACAATGAGGCTCTGGTGATTAGCGATGAGATGGGCTCTGGGCTCAGTTGTGCCTCCAGCAGAGTGGTCAAGGAGGGTGAGAAGGATGTTGGAGCAGAGGAGAAGGGCTGCAGGGCCTCCTGAAGCTTACAGAGGTCAGGAGTGCCTGCCATGAGGGCAAGACCTACTGGATAGGGGCCAGGTCAGTGCAGTGAGTGAATAACAGTGTGAGTAAATAACAGCATGTTAATTATAGTAGCTTCTGTGAAGCACCTACTGCCAGACGCTATTCTAAGCACATTACATGGATTATTAATTCATTTACTCTTCATAACAACATTCAGATACTGCTCCTGTAATTGTCTCCTTTTTTTTTTTTTTTTTTTTTTGGCGATACGCGGGCGTCTCACTGTTGTGGCCTCCCCCGTTGCGGAGCACAGGCTCCGGACGCGCAGGCTCAGCAGCCATGACTCGCGGACCCAGCCGCTCCGCGGCATGTGGAATCTTCCCGGACCGGGGCACAAACCCGTTTCCCCTGCATCGGCAGGTGGACTCTCAACCACTGCGCCACCAGGAAGGCCCTGTCTCCATTTTTTAGCTGAGAAAACTGAGTCCCACAGAGTCCAAGTAAGGTATCCAAGGTTGGGGGCTGGGAGTTAGAAATAGGGGAGTTAGGATCCAAACCAAGGTCCCTGCACTGTAACTAGCAGGCCATACTTTCTCTCAAAAGTGTGAACACAGGGTTTCCCTGGCGGCGCAGTGGTTGAGAGTCCGCCTGCCGATGCAGGGGACACGGGTTCATGCCCCGGTCCGGGAAGATCCCACGTGCCGCAGAGCGGCTGGGCCCGTGAGCCATGGCCGCTGAGCCTGCGCGTCCGGAGCCTGTGCTCTGCAGCGGGAGAGGCCACAACAGTGAGAGGCCCGCGTACCGCAAAAAAAAAAAAAAAAAAAAAAAAAATCGTGAACACAGCAGAGCACAGGAGATGGTCCTCCTCCTCCTTCACAGATAGTCAGGGAGGTAAGAGAGATACACTGTATAGGATGCAGTGAATGACAGTTATTCACTTGGTAGAGCAGGAGCCAAAGACAGACTCAAGCTCCACACAAATAACTAGCTCGGAATCTTGCTGTGCGCGCAAGGAAGAGGCTGGTGCAATATAAATCATAGGTCACACATCAGTTGTCCTGCATATTGAACCAGAGTATGTAAATAAGCCCCGTGCATTTCATCCATATCTTTTTTTTAGCATTTTGGTTGTTGTTTACTTTAAAAAAATAGTTTTATTGAGATATAATTGATAAATAATAAACTGTATATATTTAAAGTGTACAATTTGATAAACATATGCATTTACCCATGAAACCATCATCACAATGGAGATAAAGAACAAATCTATAATCCCCAAAAGTTTCCTCCTGCCCCTTCTCCCAGCACCCCTCCTCACTCCCAGGTAACCACTGCTCTGCTTTCTATTGCTATAGATAAGTAGTTTGTTTTTTATGGAATAGTTATAAAACTCACCTCTCTGGGCATCTGCTTCCTCATCTGAGGAATGAGGTAGTGATACCTACCGCATGAGCTTGTTGCAGAAGTTAAATTAGGTAGTCCATGCACATTTCCTTAAAAATTGCACAACACTTTTTGTTTGTCTGTCTTCTTTTGCTCAGCACAATTATTTTGAGATTCACTCATGTTGCTGCACGTAGCAGTAGCTCATTCCTTTATATTTCTGACTAGTATTTCATAAAAGAAAAAATGAATTAGGCAAAGATTTCTTAAGAGTTACAGTTTGGGGTGTTGTATCTCAGAAATCTTTGCTAATCCAAGGTTACAAAGATTTTTCTCCTATGTTTTCTTCTAGAAGTTTTATAATATTTGGTTTTATATTTATGTCTATGATCCATTTTGAGATAATATTCATATATAATGTGCGATATGGATTGAGGTTCACTTTTTTGCATGTAAATATCCAACTGTTCCAGCATCATTTGTTGAAAAGACTATCTCTTCTCCACTGAACTGCCTTTGTACTTACTTTTGTTGAAAATCAATCGACCATATATGTGTGAATATAGTTTTGGACTCCTTATTCTCATTCACTGATCTATTTCTCTATCTTTTTTTTTGGCCGCGCCGTGCAGCTTGTGGGATCTTAGTACCCTGACCAGGGAATGAACACAGGCCCTTGGCCGTGAAAGTGCGGAGTCCTAACCACTGGACCTCAGGGGAATTCCCTATTTCTCTATCTTTATAGTATTTTGTTTTTATACTAACAACAGTAAAATGCAAACCTTCTCTGAGACAGCCCTCTGTAAGGAAATGTGCATGGACTACCTAATTTAACTTCTGCAACAAGCTCATGAGGTAGGTATCACTACCTCATTCTTCAGATGAGGAAGCAGAGGCCCAGAGAGGTGAAGTTGTTTGTGGTCACACAGTCATTAAGTGGCAGAATTATGATTCAAACCACATCTGTTTAATTCCAAAAACTGTACTATTAATCACTTGTGGTAAACAGAATAATGTCCGCCCAAAGATATCCATGTCCTAATTTCTGAAACCTGTGAATATGTTGCCTTACATGCCAAAAGGGACTTGCAGGTGTGATTAAGTTCAGGATCTTGAGATGGGAAGATTACTGGGCTCCTGAGGTGGGTCCAATGTAATCACAAGGGTCCTTATAAGAGAAAGGCAGGAGGGTCAACGCCAAGGAAGGACATGTGACACGGAGGCAGAGGTCTATGCCAGAGAAAGATTAGAAGATGCTATGCTGCTGGCTTTGAAGACAGAGGAAGGGGCCAAGAGTCAATGGACACAGGGAGCCATTAGGTGAAAAAGGTAAAAAAACAGATTATCCCTTCCGAGCCTCCAGAAGGAACCAGCACTGCCAACACCTTGACTTTACCCCAGTGAAAGTAATTTCAGACTCCTGATTTCTAAAATTGTATGATAATAAATTTGTGGTAATTTGTTATAGCAGCAATAGACCATTAATACACCACAGATACTCTAACCTGTATTAAAGTGTGACTTATAATTTGGGTAAATTATTTAACTTTTGGGAGTCACAGCACCTCCATCTTGTAATGGCCACAGCAATGTTACTTCCTAGAGCTGAAGGGATGAGGGGTATGCCGGGCACAAAGCTGTTACTCCGTAAATGTTAACTACATGTAAAAATCATACCTCTTCTCTAGAAACCTCCAGACGTTGCCTTAATTAGGAGACAGTTTTTAGCTATTCCATTGCTCCCTTGGTTCCTTGGTAGGAAAGGGAAACCTAGTCCCCTGCAGCATAACAGCCACAAGTCCTGAGTGACAGCTGACAATGTCAGACCCCACATCAAGGAAGTCAGAGGGTCCTGGTGTTGCCTGAGGGGAGTCTGGGGGTAGAGAGAGAGGCTGTAAAATAAGGGGATGCTAAGTCAAAACCTACCCTCAAGTCTCACTACAAAGTGCTAAGATTTCTTTTTCTTTTTTGTTTTTCTCCTTAAAGAAACATACTCACATCTATTTTTCAGCCCATATACTTTCAGCTGACACCTCTCCACCATGCCCCATTCTCAGGTCCATGGATTTGCTTACCAGTTAATTATTTAGTCAGGAAATATTTACTATGCAGCTACTATGTGAAAAGCATGGTGCTAATGCCAGGGTATACAATCTAGAGGGGGAGACAGACATTAAATAGATAAATACACTCAGAAATACATAAGGACAAATGGTGACAAGTGCTATCTAGGAGAAAACAGGGTGAGAGATAGAACATAGGACTAAGGAGGGTGGTAGTGCTGGTGGTCTGTCTAAACAGGAAGAACAGGGAAAGCAATTCATTCATTTATTCAATCAATCAATCAACAAATATTTATTGAGTGCTTATTCTGTATCAAGATAGGCATTGGGGTAGAGGGGTGAACAAGAGTTTCTGTTCCCCTGAAGCTTGTGTGTGTGAAAAAAAGAGAGAGAGAAAGAAAGAGAGAGAGAGAGCACACACAAGGGAGGGCCAGCATGGGTATGTATGTAAACAGCTACGTGTTATAAATGCATAAACAAATAAATATGCTCCATCCTCATTCATAAATTTTATATTTGCAAATTCACTTGCTAAAATGTATTTGTAATCCCAAGATCGATAGTTGTGGCGCTTTCACGTTCATTAGTGGGCATGCTTAAAGTGACAAAAAATGTGAATTGCCTGATGTGCATATTGCCAGGTAAGGTCAGACAAGATGATGCTCTACCATCTTCCATGTGCTCTCATACTGCAAACAGTGTCTTTCCACTGTCTATATAGTACCACATTTTTCACATTTTTGTGCTTTGTATTGGTGATTTGCCTATTTAAAATGGTCCCCAAGCTTACTGCTAAAGTGCTGTCTAGTGTTCCTAAGTGCAAGAAGGCTGTGATATGTTTTACAAGAAAACATGTGTATTAGATAAGCATCAGTCAGGCATGAATTATAGTGCTGTTGGCTGTGAGTTCAATGTTAATGAATCAGCAATATATATTAAATAAGTCGTCTTTAAAAAGAAACACACATAAAACAAGGTTATGTATTAGTTGGTTAATGAAATGTTGTGACCAGAGGCTTGGAGGAACCTAATCCTGTATTTTCCCTAGGAGCAATGGTTCAGTATCTGATAATTCAGCGTTTGCAGCAACTGTATAGAACTTCCATGAATAATGAGAATTGACTGTACTTTAACTTCAGAATTATAAGTGCTATGAAGGCAATAAAATAGGGTACTAGGTGAAAGAAATGCCTTCAAGGAAGGCCTCTTGCAGAGATTAGATTGGAGTCCGGATCTGAATGATGAGAAGGAGGAAGGTGCATGGAAGGCTTATCCAGGCATTGGGAACAGCAAGAGCAAAGGTCCTGAGGCAGGAACAAATTCAGTATGTTTTGTGCTAAGTAAGGCTGATGAGCTGTAGATGGAGGTGAAGGATAGAGAGACAAGTTCAGAGAGGAAGGTGGAGCCAGGACCACTATAAGGACAAAGAAAAGCCATGGGAGAGTTTAAGCAGGAAAGAGCCAAGTCAGAGGGTTTCTGTGTGCAGAATGCATTGAAGGAGGCTGAGTGGAAGCAGGGATACTGGTTAGGGATTAAGGATCTAATCTAAGTGAGGGATGTGGAGGCTAGGTTGCAGCTGTGGAGATTATGTGAATTGAATGGGTTTGAGATATGTTTTAGGTGTTGAATTGACAGGACTTGGTATGGTTTAGATGCAAGTGAGGAGGTGTTGACGGGAAGAAAGGGGTCAAAGATAACTCCCAAGTTTCTGGGTGGTGCATTCATTAAACATTTGTTGGGCAGCACACCCAGTTCCAATGCTATTTATTGTTTGCTAACATCCTCCCACCACCTCCCTGCCTTCACACACCACACCTGCAACCCCTTTGCTCCCTTGGCCTGGCCACCATCATCTCTTTCCTAGATTGTTGCAATAGCTTCCTAACTAGTCTCTGCCTCTGTCTTTGCCCCTGCAATTCCCAAAAGAGTAGCCAGGGTGGCCCTTTAAAAACATAAGTCAGTTGTTTTGAGATGGAATGTCCTATAAATATCAATTAAGTCCACCTTGTTTAATATATCATTTAAAGCTTGTGGTTCCTTATTTATTTTCATTTTGGATGATCTGTCCATTGGTGAAAGTGGGGTGTTAAAGTCCCCTACTATGATTGTGTTACTGTCGATTTCCCCTTTTATGGCTGTTAGTATTTGCCTTATGTATTGAGGTGCTCCTATGTTGGGTGCATAAATATTTACCACTGTTAAACCTTCTTCTTAGACTGATTCCTTGATCATTATGTAGTGTCCTTCTTTGTCTCTTGTAAAAGTCTTTATTCTAAAGTCTATTTTGTCTGATATGAGAATGCTACTCCAGCTTTCTTTTGATTTACATGTGCATGGAGTATCTTTTTCCATCCCCTCACTTTCAGTCTGTGTGTGTCCCTAGGTCTGAAGTGGGTCTCTTGTAGACAGCATATATACGGGTCTTGTTTTTGTATCCATTCAGCCAGTCTATGTCTTTTGGTTGGAGCATTTAATCCATTTACATTTAAGGTAATTATTGATATGTATGTTTCTATTACCATTTTCTTAGCTGTTTTGGGTTTGTTATTGTAGGTCTTCTCCTTCTTTTGTGTTTCTTGCCTAGAGAAGTTCCTTTAGCATTTGTTGTAAAGCTGGTTTGGTGATGCTGAATTCTCTTAGCTTTTGCTTGTCTGTAAAGGTTTTAATTCTTCGTGCAATCTGAATGAGATCCTTGAAAGAAATTAAAGATGATATAAATAGATGGAGAGATATACCATGTTCTTGGATTGGAAGAATCGACATTGTGAAAATGCCTATACTACTCAAAGCAATCTACAGATTCAATGCAATCCCTATCAAACTACCACTGGCATTTTTCACAGAACTAGAACAAAAAAATTCACAGTTTGTATGGAAATACAAAGGACCCCGAATAGCCAAAGCAAACTTGAGAAAGAAAAATGGAGCTGGAGGAATCAGGCCCCCTGACTTCGGACTATACCACAAAGGTACAGTAATCAAGACAGTATGGTACTGGCACAAAAACAGAAATATAGATCAATGAAACAGGATAGAAAGCCCAGAGATAAACCCATGCATATATGGTCACCTTATCTTTGATAAAGGAGGCAAGAATATACAGTGGAGAAAAGACAGCCTGTTCAATAAGTGGTGCTGGGAAAACTGGACAGCTACATGTAAAAGAATGAAATTAGAACATTCCCTAACGCCATACACAAAAATAAACTCAAAATGGATTAAAGACCTAAATGTAAGGTCAGACACTATAAAACTCTTAGAGGAAAACATAGGCAGAACACTCTATGACATAAATCACAGCAAGATCCTTTTTGACCCACCTCCTAGAGAAATGGAAATAAAAACAAAAATAAACAAATGGGACCTAATGAAGCTTAAAAGCTTTTGCACAGCAAAGGAAACCATAAATAAGACGAAAAGATAACCCTCATAATGGGAGAAAATATTTGCAAATGAAGCAACTCACAAAGGATTAATCTCCAAAATTTACAGGCAGCTCAATATCAAACAAACAAACAACCCAATCCAAAAATGGGCAGAAGACCTAAATAGACATTTCCCCAAAGAAGATATAGAGATTGCCAACAGACACATGAAAGAATGCTCAACATCATTAATCATTAGAGAAATGCAAATCAAAACTACAATGAGATATCATCTCACACCATTCAGAATGGCCATCATCAAAAAATCTAGAAACAATAAATGCTGGAGAGGGTGTGGAGAAAAGGGAACCCTCTTGCAGTGTTGGTGGGAATGTAAGCCTCAACCACTATGGAGAACAGTATGGAGGTTCCTTAAAAAACTACAAATAGAACTACCATATGACCCAGCAATCCCACTACTGGGCATATACCCTGAGAAAACCATAATTGAAAAAGAGTCATGTACCACAATGTTCATTGCAGCTCTATTTACAATAGCCAGGACATGGAAGCAACCTAAGTGTCCATCGACAGATGAATGGATAAAGAAGATGTGGCACATATATATAATGGAATATTATTCAGCCATAAAAAAGAAACGAAATTGAGTTAATTTTAGTGAGGTGGATGGACCTAGAGTCTGTCATAAGGGGGGAGTAAGTCTGAAAGAAAAAAACAAATACCGTATGCTGACACATATATATGGAATCTAAAAAAAGCGGTCATGAAGAACCTAGGGGCAAGACGGGAATAAAGACACAAACCTAGTAGAAAATGGACTTGAGGATATGGGGAGGGGGAAGGGTAAGCTGGGACACAGTGAGAGCGTGGCATGGACATACATATACTACCAAACGTAAAATAGATAGCTAGTGGGAAGCAGCCACATAGCACAGGGAGATCAGCTGGGTGCTTTGTGACCACCTAGAGGGGTGGGATAGGGAGGGTGGGAGGGAGGGAGATGCAAGAGGGAAGAGATATGGGGACATAAGTATATGTATAACTGATTCATTTTGTTATAAAGCAGAAACTAACACACCATTGTAAAGAAATTATACTCCAATAAAGATGTTAAATTAAAAAAAAAGTAAGTCAGATCATGTTACCTCTCTGCTTAAATACCAACAGCTCCCCATCCTAAAAGCCAAAATCTTTACAATGACCAGCAAGGCTTTTAGAGATTCTTCCTCCCCACCCTCACTGTTTCCCCTCTGTTTCTAAACATGAAGTGCATCATCTAAGGCAACTCTGAGAAAAAGTTTCAACAACAACAACAAAAATAAAAGTTGTTGGAATAAGATTATTTAACATCTAAAAGGAGGAACCATATTAGTTCGGTTGTTTAAGTTCTAGTTTATTTGCTTAAAAATCAGCCTCTTTCCTTGAAGTAGCGGAACCCCACTGTAGCGTACAGATAAATATTGCCCATGATCAGAGTTTGAAAAATACTATTATAATAAAAGTAATGACTTGCAGACAACACACTTTACAGTTATAAAAGGTCTCTCAATAATCATACAATGTTGGATTTTTAAGGGACTGCTTGGTCCAAGTCT